CAGAGCAGGGAAAACAGATATGTTTTGGGAACATCGGGGAAAGTAGGCCACTTTGAGGAAGCACTTCACAACATGTGCTTTGTTATTTCAACAACAGGTGCAAGCACAGTGCTCATAGAATATCAGACAAACGTCATCGGGACCTGCAGCTGTCACCAACAACGTACATCCTCATTGGACAATATGTTTCCAACTGAGTTCTAGCCTTTATTACTGGGTCAATATAGGATATTATAATCATGGAAATAAATATACAAAGATATATTGAAGTGTTTGGGTTTCTTATGCTTTGTGAATATACATGATACATACCATGTATGTATACTGATAGAAAAGGGAACATATAGACATAATGATGGCTATTGGTTGTTGTCTTCAATACCTTTCCAACTGCAGTCTAGTCTTTATTACAGGATCAATATACAATGATATAGGACATAATAATCATGGAAATAAACACTGGAACAAAAATACTGAAGTGTAATGTTTTCTGCTTTGTCCCTGAGACATGTTAGAAATTCTATTTCAAATTAAATAATGCTTACTTCAGTTCATGCATAAATTATTGTTGTTTTGTTTCACGTCTCTCTCACATCCGAAATGCCCAGCGACAAGCGTGACAAGAGAAACTATATATGTTATTGTTCAACTTTTATGAATTGTGATGCTAGGATGATTATTAGGATACTTGTTCACCAAAAAGAAAATTAATGTTTCATATCTCATGATATCTGTATGAACAAATATTGATAAATGAAAATGACTGAATGAAGATTATGATTTTGAGTTTAAAGAAATACACACATAAAAACAGACACTTTACAGATCTTAAATTATCTATGCACAGGCAATCTCATTAAAATCAGATCTTAGTTCTCGCTACCACTAAACAAAGATCTGAGGACATCCCATAAGGGGTCACTTCAGAACGACCTTTCATCCGACCAATCAGAGCATCACTTACCAGATCATGAAAGTGACTGTCGGAATGTCTAATCATGCAACCTCGAAAACTTTAACACGGAGTATTCCGAAAGATAGTTACGGGCTAAACGACTGAATCCATACAATCTAGACCATATATTAGCCATTCCAGAATGTTGTTTTGTTCAGATTTCAAATTTGTAATCGAGAATTTGTAAAAATATGTTTCGAAGCGTAGTCACCAATTTGAAATTAGTGCCGTAAAGCACGAGAAAGCTGCCTTCTGATTAGCTAATTTCGACTTCTTGTCAGTCATTCCATTGGTCGCTCAAAGTTCGCGAAAATGTCAGTCTGACGTGACACGTAATGGGATGTCCTCAGATCTTTGTTTAGCGGTAGCGAGAACTAAGATCTGATTTTAATGAGATTGGTGCTCAGGTAAGTTGAGGTGAAATGGGGTTTAACGTCAATAGGAGGGACATGGAAGGGACATAACTCATAACAGACACTGGTGGCACTGCAATCGAGCCAGGAAATTCCAGCCTAGTTTGTCAAGGGTGGATACTTGACTTTTAGAGTCAGTTAACGCCCTTGCTTCGGGAAGATGAGGTTTTCGGACATCATACGTTTTCAGGTGGCCATGTTTATCACAATAACTGGTGCAATAATACAGGGTGTAGCATCACACAGACATTGTAAATACTCAGATGATATCTTGTTCTTAGAGAAAGTTGTCTTTTAAAAGTAAATGAGATGTTTTACAGTTGTTCATGTTATTAGAGAGAAAACTCTGAATGTTTCTTAAGCGTCATAAAACCCATAACACGAGGATATTTGAATCTAGGGATGCCCTAAATCTTAAAAAAATGTACAACATATATGTTAGGTCAAAACCCCTTGACGTTTGGATGCTTAATTTTACAAACTGTTATTAATATATGTAACATGTCATCATTGGACAGGGGACGTAACCCAAACCCACTTCCCTCGACACACTGCGAATCAACCTAGGGTGTTGGGGTGGACAAGGACACACAGGTACAAGGTGAACCTGTAGTGTTTAGGCGGAGGTTACTCACCTCAAAATATATCCAACATAGGACTCAAAGCATTTACTGTGCTCAAAGGACTCCAATTTACTAAAAGCATTCAACATATTGAATATGCCAAGGGTGTTTTCAAGCATATCACCAACTGGAAAACTCCCCTTTGAAAAGGATTGGTGCACAGGGTACATTTTCCACACACATGTGAACATCATTTTGATATAGTGAGAAGCTTCAGGACAAACAAGTACAAGACGGCTAGTTAAATTGTCATGAACACATACGTAAGTGGATGCAGTTTGGTGGAGATGACAAAAAGTGGAGTTTTATAAAGCTCTAAACAGAATATCAGTTATACACCGACATGTCAGCTTGATGTCGGAGGAAATCTCAAAGTTAGGCAGGTACAAAGAAAGGAGTGACAAAGATGTTTGCTACCTTGATGAAACTCACAAAGTTGGCTGTTGACCTCACAATCCTGGCATGACTAAGGGACATAACTCTGCACAGTAAATTGCACCACAAAAACAACTGGGCCACCCTAACTCCCTGTCAAACAGAATCCTCTCTATTCTAATACCATCACTGATACAGAAAGTCATAGTGGTAGTCACATTTCTTTTCTATTTCACTATAGCTCCTGGCAGCGTTTCCCTATGACATAGAAAGTATGACTCGAAGACACAAGCTGCTCAGAAATTCAATAACGATTTTAGATGGCTGTGCATTGTTTTATATAATCAATACTGCAAGAAGGATTAATCCTTACTATTTACTTTTTAATCAAACAAACCATCTGTCAAATTGAAATTTTATCGGTTTATGACGGACGGCCATCTGAAACTCTGACTTCAGAGATAAATCATGTGTAAAATTCAGGACATTTCAGAATTCTAAAATGTCCTCATATACATGTACACTTCTTAGTGGACATCCCATTACAGGTCACGTCAGACTGACCTTGCGAACTTTGACCGACCAATGGAATGACCAATCAGAAGGCAGCTTTCTTGTGCTTTACGTCACTAATTTCAAATTGGCGACTACGCTTCGAAACATATTTTGACAAATTCTCGATTACAAATTTGAAACCTGAACAAAAGAACATCCTGGAAGGCTAATAGATAATCTAGATTGTATGCATTCAGTCATTGAACTCGTAACTTTCATTCGGAATACCCCGTGTTAAAGTTTTCGAGGTTGCATGATTAGAAATCACATTCTGACTGTCACTTTCATAATCTGGTAAGCGACACTCTGATTGGTGGGATGAAAGGTCGTTCTGACGTGACCCCTTCTGGGATGTCTTCAGATCTTTGTTTAGCGGTAGCGAGAACCAAGATCTGATTTTTATGAGATTGGTATGACACGTAACTCAGGCCACACTTTTTAAGATTTTGTTTAACTGATTCATTCCAGCTTTTCCACAGAAAGTTGGTTTAAACATGTTAAACAAAAATTAAAATATTTACTTATTCACATGAAAGTCATTCTGCCACGGAGTTAGAACTTCAGGTGGCCTCTTGAATCAATGATAGTAGACATGGAACTTATGTAAAATAATAACATTATAAATTGTATAAGAGAATCCATATTACTAGGGGGAGACATAATAAGAATAAATATTTTATTTTTAATTCATTTCTTAGACTGGCTGCTTTTCCATAGGGGCGGCGGGCCCATGAAACAAAAAAATAAATGATGTGTGGCCTCCGTGTTCAAAATGAGGTGTGGAAGACAAGGGGCGTAAGTAACTTTCTGACCCAAACGTTAAACGTATATGTGATGGGAATCCCTTGGTCAAATACATTAACATAAAACTTACTGGACCTCAGGGTCCCCTTAATTCCTAACCAGGCGTAGAAATTTAGTGTCATGGTGGAAGGAAGGCTCAAAGTTATGCAGGTAAGTAAGGTTGGTTGGTTGGTTTGTTGTTTTACGCCGCACTCAGCAATATTCCAGCTATATGACGGCGGTCTGTAAATAATCGAGTCTGGACCAGACAATCCAGTGATTAATATCATGAGCATCGATCCACGCAGTTGGGATCGATGACATGCATCAACTAAGTCAGCGAGCCTGACCATCCGATCCCGTTAGTCGCCTTTTTGACAAGCATAGTCACCTTTTACGGCAAGCATGGGTTGCTGAAGACCAATTCTACCCCGGATCTTCAGGGGTAAGTAAAGTAAGGTCAAGCTGACAAACCAAGAATCTTGGATTTGAACTCGGGACCATGTAATTCTGGTTCGACTGGGAACACAACCCTGTACAGGGCCTGATGAAGATGACTAAGTGTGCTCTTCTAGTGTGCCAACCAGAATACTTTCACAATAAACAAAATAGTATATTTGAAATTCTGTTCATTAAGTATGTTTATTAACCCTCAGTTTGTCCACTTTACTTGTGCAACGTACATTTATCACTGGTTTCACATGATATCAATCGTCACAAGGCTTCTAAGTGTCTCTTAAAGGCACCAGGTACTAAATTTAACTGTGCCATAATGAATTTAACCACTAGCACTTTAAGACAAGAAATTGTGAATTCTGCTAACACTGACAAGTACAGCTTTCCAAACTGCTTGTCCCCAAGCCTGAGAAAAAGTCGTCCTCATTAAATAGTAGTTTTTGAGAGCTACAACTCTGAACCAGTTAACGTTTCAATCTTACTACAAATTGGAACTGAAGAAAACTAACAGGAAATGTAAACATAGTAAACAGTGTTGTCTTGGTTACAAACTCAGAGGACTTGTGAAATTCAGTTTCCCCTAGTCCTTCCGATTAGTCTTTAAAAAAATATAATTTCTAACCCTGATACAGTAAACTACAGTTATAACGATATAACGAACTGACGGATATAACGAACTAACTTTTTAGTCCCGACTATTTGCTGTAGTTATGCTGAATATATGCGTATAACGAACTACGGTTATAACGAACTAAACATAGTAGTCCCTTTGAGTTCGTTATAACCGTAGTTTACTGTAAATCCTAACCCTCCCCGCCCAAGTTCTGACAACAGTCCTACCTTCTCGTCTTGAGTCTGAGGCATGAGTGCCAGGATCGGCCAGAGCAGAAGGGCCAGCAACTCCACCAGCTGCACCAGGACAGCGAACACCGGCTCCGGGACAATGCGAGCCACATACTGGACAATGACACTGACCGCTGGCTTCACCAACTCATCAACGACAAGTCTCGTCTTCGACAGTTGTTTCCGTGCAGAGAGAACCACCATGACTCTAACCTACCAGCACTGTCTACAAAGTGGGCATCAGTTATGCAAGGTAGACAGACGTCAGAGGGTTGACAGACGTCAGTTTATACACAGCTGTCACAGGTGTTCCAACACTGACTAATCTCATGGACCTCAACTCCAGTCAAATAAGATCACAGTGATCAATAAAGTTGATTATTCATCAAAAACACATGTATTTCAACCAACAAAAAGCTTTTGAATAGTAGTTAAATTGATAAAAAATAGAAACTGCAGACTGTCAAGTTAACAACGTGAGAGCCAGAGAGAGAGAGAATTGGGGAGATGGAGCGTGGAGAGTGTATCTCAAATAGGGGGCGGGTTTAGGATCAAAGAGTAGTCTCTACACCAACTGGAGGCAGGGACACTACCATGTGACACAGGAGGATTGATGTATATTTTCAACACATCCCTGTCACCTAACACAGGGTCTGTTTGTTCAGAACTAGACAAGCAGAACTCAAAATATTGACAGTTTTTTACCCATATGTTAAAACCATGTTTTGATATAGGTCAAAATCATGTGAAGGGCTAGTCTGACAAACAGAACCATCTGAAATGTCCTCCATCCTACAAACTGTAGAAATTCAATACATTAATCATGTGTATGTATGTCCAACAATACCATTGTCAAGATGTTGACAGCTGTTGTGCGCATGGAGCATACAGTAAACATGACAGCAGTGTCACAGCAAGGTTGTTTTTATTCAGATATATGAAAATAAACAACTTGTACTTTTAAGAGTAGTGACAGTGAGTGAGTTTGGTTCGACACCGATTTTAGCAACATTACAGAAATATCACAGCAGGGACACCAGTAGTGAGTGAGTATGGATTTATGCCGCTTTTAGCAATATTCCAGCAATATCACGGCGGGGAACACCAGAAATGGGCTTCACACATTGTATGTTGGGAATCAAACCCAGATCATCGGCGTGATGAGCAAACGCTTTAACCACTAGGCTACCCGACTGCCCCGGACACCAGTAGTGAGCTTCACACACTGTTCCCATGTGGGGAGTCACATCCCATACTGACTAGGGATGGAATATATATATTCTGGTAATCACATCCAATACTTTGGATGTAATGAATGGAACAGAAAATAATCTGTTACGGCTCGATAAATACACCAGTCAACTTGACCACTACCATCCTATTTCTGCTGGCCCAGATGAGTGGTCAGTGGGGATGATCATCTGACCTGGAAACTACCTTTATAAATATTTTTGCAAGATTATGGGCTGAAAAAAATTGTCAACCAGTCAATTATTACTTGTGAGTGTTGAGTGTTATATATAATGAAGACTAGTGACTTTCATTTCTTTTCAAAATTGAAATATGTTCTGTTAAACATATCTATGTATGACTGATGATTAACTTGATAAATACATTAAGCATGAGTGAGGTGAGGTGAAATGGGGTTTAACGTCGCATCCAAGATTATTGCACTTATATAGCGACGTGCATGTGTGTGTCTGCTTGTACTAGTCTGGACTGATGCCGATTTATAGTGCTAGCTCACTGAGATATCATGCCGCAGTTTAACATGAATACCCCACTCAGACACAGAATACTGACTCCGAGCCGACCAGTCCTTGTTTTAGCTATTAATGCCGAGCGCCAGACAGGGTAACAACAAGTACCATCTCTTAACGTCTTTTGGTATGACGCAGTCGGGTATCAAACCCCGGACCTTCCGCTCTCCAGGCAGACACTCTACCACAAGACCACGGAGGCGGTCTAAGAATGGGTGAATTGAAATTAGGCTTCAATGTCGCGTTCAAGATTATTGCACTTACATAGAGACGTGCATGCATGTTTATGATTTATAGTGCTAGCTCACTGAGACACCATGCTACAGTTTAACATGGATACCCTACTTACTCAAGACAAAGTGTACTGACTCCGAGCCAACCAGTCCTTGTTTTAGCCCCTTCATGCCGAGCGTCAGCCATGGTAACTACAAGTACCATCTTTTACATCTTTTGGTATAACACGACCAGAGGATAGAACAACAGATCTTCCGCTCTCTGAACAGACGCTCTATCCACTAGACAAGCTAATGATTGTAAATTGTATGTAACACTTCACCCATTGGAGGAGTGGTCTTCAAATTTGGCTGGTAGATTCTACTGTTTGCTGACATTTTGACTGGTATATATTCCATGAATGTCAACCCTCTCTGCTAATTAGATCGCATTTTGAAACAGCTTAAATTAGTTTCCTCTTCATGATGTACACATGTTAGATCTAGTGCTCGCTGTCGATATAGATTGTAGAGACCGATAATCAGTAACTAAATATCGATCAATTATCAATAAATATTGGAGAAATAACTTTGATCAAATTGAGCAAATCTACAAAATGCTCTGAAAGAAAACAACATATTTCATGTCACTGGTGAGTGTTGACAGCTATGCATGGATTACTTTGTGGACATTAAAGACATAAACAAAACATTGCTTTCCGTCTTCAGAAACTGACAATATAGCAAAACCCACTTCAGTAAATAATTTTTTTATTTAATCGCAATAGTTTATGTAACATATTATCAATGACACAATTTTCATTTCGATAAGCGTTAATATTTCTTCCCTTTGATCATGTTGATAATAATTCTTATTAGAGATTTTTTTAGCCAGCCCTAGTTACCGGTAGATCAGCATGATTCGTAAGTAGCATGGCATGAACATAGTGCCAGAACTACCACCTCAATACAGTCAGTGCTGACATACCATCAAACCATAAGCCCGCCTCATCAAGTATTGTTTCTGGTGTTACTGGTATTGTTTCTGGCGGTAACAAATTATGCATCGATGCAACGCTTTTCTAACCAGTGTCCTGTAGAAAAAGGTTTAACAACCTTTAAATTGGAAAGGTTAGAGAATGAAAGTTATTTTTCTTCACAATCAACAAAGGCTAGGCTTGGCAACCCCCAGTGACTGATAGCATGAGCAATGAGTCATGACATGCCATAAATGTACATCCACACACAATCAGCCAGGGTACACATTGTAACTATCTGCTCTGTCCAGCATCCTCCAAGGAGGACAAAAAATATTAATATGATCCCTAATTTCTTCAGGATGTTTCCATTTTCCTCATGCAGTGATCTACGGACCTGCAATTTACAATGCTGAGTAGTGCCCCTTTGATGTGATACGATCAGAAGCTAGATTCTTTCCAATTATGAACCTTGGTTTATCACCATAACATTGCTTGTTGGATTAACTAAACTGACAAGCAGTCTGTATCACATTCAGTTTCTTCCCACAAGGTGACATGTTGTTCAAAGTGATGGCCCTCATTTCTTTGTTTTTTAAAAGAATGTTGTGAGACTAACAATGTTCAGATGACATAAAATAGTCCCAAGACCTTCCTGAATACTGTACAATTGTTCAGCAACACTCCTAACAAGTCTATCATGTTTCTGTAACAATGCTGCAACTCAGTCCCGCAACTCCCCAGTCCCGCAACTCCCCATTCCATGCTAGACAAGCCAGTGAGATCACGTTCAGTTGCACCCATCAATACCTGAAGGCAGGACAGTACAGGTGTGCAGTATTACCAGTATACCACAATTTGAAACACTAATGAATATGTATCTTTATCACAATATGTTTGGAAAAATATGGGTATATTGCGTGTTTCAAAATCATACATATTGTAGAAATTACACCAGGAACACGGGATGAAACAATGTGTACATTCTGACATCTATAGGTCTGCAGTGCAATCAACGAACCCAGCTGACACTAGAACACAGAGACACGATCGGTTCAGCCTTCCGTAACACGCCATCTCGCTCTCCATCACCACCCAAAACTAACTGCCCCATTAGTTCACACAATTATATCATAATATCATAGAATCTATACACATACACAACACAGAATGTCACAAACTTAAGGATACTACAAAAAAACCTTGAGCATCAAATAAAACTGGAGGGAGGTAATGCCATCATTGAATGTAAATAATATATCTGATATAATATAATCGCTAATACATTAAATTACCATCGGAACACACTCTGTGGAAGACCTAGAAAGTTGATAACTGCAGATTTGTTATCCCCCGCATGCCAATGAAAGGAACAGCTGATCGTGGTAAACATGTGACATTGTCTGTCAAAAGATCTATAATTGTACTCGTGCATAATTCCTCCTGAAGTCGACAATGAACAGAAATACATAAATTATAATGTAATTGGTATTTTATTTCAGTAGACAATGCACATAATCCAGTAATATACACATATTTTGAAATATTCTAAGTGGAATAATTCATGTTTGAAAAAATAGGATATGCGAGGAAATATCTTTATAATTTAGTCACATTAATTGCAACATAGTTGGAGTCACAAATACCGAAAATCAAATACAGTTTCCACTGTTTGAAGACAAAATATCTCCGTAAATAGCAAAATCTCATCACACGCCAAAAAATCTCATTGTTATCGGACCAGGAAACCAGATTTTCTCTTGTCAAAAATTCCAGAAAAAGCCCTGAAAACATATCTATTACTTTATCCTTTGTGATCAAAGCAACATCCAACAAAATATGAAATTGTCAAAAATGTGTGTGCGTGTTGGGGGGGGGGGGGGGGTGGGATGGAGGTGTTGAAGAGAAAAGGGTTTTTTTTCACTCAGGCTCATAACCAATTACAGATGAAAGAACACAGGCAACACACATATATTGTGGTACATATCGCAGTACATACAACATTATTGCAATAACTTCATTGCAATTGAGGTCATAACCCTTCACTATGATTCAGGTATTGCAAACTTGGCAGATTCGAGGTCAGATGCATTTTATGTGGGTCAAAGATTATGTCAGTTTGACCAATGCATTTTAAGTCAATTCAAATTACTTACAAAACAATCATTAATTTATATATATTTTCATCTGAAATATTTAACATAATCAAATAAAGAAATTAATCGACCTTACCTGTTTACTAACATCTGCCCACCTTGATTCACAAAATGGTGGTTAAGAGTGAGTGAGTGAGTTGGGTTTAACGCTGCTTTTAACAGTATTCCAGTTATATCACGGCGTGTCAGCTTAATGTGGGAGGAAAGCCAGACGTTTACCACTTCAGTGAAACCCACGAGCACAGGTATGGTGCTGACAAACCTAGATCGGGGCGAAGCGGGATTCGAACCCACAATCATACGTTTCTGGCGTGCCCAAGGGACCCAATGCTGCACAGCGATGATGGTTAGGAATAGAACATCTAATGAAAACCATCATTACAAACACTCAGAGTTT